ATATCTGATGGGTATAGTTACATTGGGGTGGGGGACTGTTGAGCAACTGAAATCTCCTATCAAACAAGAATGAGAGGAAATGTGATTTCAAAACTGCAGCAATTGTTCTCCTCAGTTCCCAGACATTTCAACTGGTAAATGAAGGTGATGCTACACAGTAAGACACAGACCCCTGTCCCACTGCTGTGAGAAACTGTTGCATTTGTCAGTTTGAATCCTACTTTAAGTTGTGAACATGGCTGCCCCCGTCTGTAACATTTGTTATCAAGTCGTACCTTTGTCCTTGGCAAGTTTACTATTTACCCAAGCAAATGATTGACTCAGAAACTATGGGGAGGGTTTAAGTTTCCAAAACAAAACTTTCTCATTAACACGATTTTTTGAATGATGAACACACACACACACAAAGAAACACAAAGAAACAAATAGATTTGAGTTTTTTTCTCACATTTCAAACTAGTGTGCTGTTTGACTCAGCTAATTGTGGCTGCGGTATACCGTGCATTCCTGAGCTTCTCCTCCTCCCTATTCGCTCTGGTCAAGAAGCTCCAGTGGGGCTTTATGATGTAACTGAGTAATCACATGGCTGCTCACAGATGAAATGGCTGGTAGCGATACTGGAATGCTTACAAGTGTCAGGTGCTTAGAAAGTGGACGAGGTTGAAATGAACTTCTGCTTTACTGTGGTACTTCCTCTTATGTGCTTTTCATTACGCATGTATGTATAAGGGTAGATACAATCATGATAACATGTAGAAGCGATACACTTTTCCTCTTTTAGACATTATTTTTGACACTCATGTCTCTGTCGTGGTTCAAAAACAGTTTTGCACTTTACTAAGAAGCCAGCTTTTCAAGATCCTTTCACATTCCTGCATTCATCTGCATATGAATGTGTCAAACACTTTGGTTACATGTGAAAATTATTCTTCATTCTCACTGAGAGTTACATGAGTAGCTTTTTAAAAAAAAAAAAGTATTATACTTCTTTGCAAAGACTGGAACTTTCAAAAGTCTCCCCCAGTTGCCAGGAAACAGACTCATTACTTTAAAGGTTATGAGTGCACATTCACACGTGCTTGTAAGTGGTTACTCTGAAAGTTTAAATGCATTTGCCAATTAAAATAAAAGATCTTATCTAAATACAGAGAGCCCCATAATATTTAAACACATTTTAATTATATACATCAGTTTACATACAAAATGCAGTTTTTAAATGATGATTTCATTTATTAAGAGAAAAAAGCTGTACAAACCTACATGGCTCTATGTTAAGAAATATTTTTGACTCATGAATTAACTGTGATTAACCACTTTTTTTCTTGGGGGGCGGGGGGGACTGAGTTTAGAGCCATTACTCAAAAATGGTGAAAACTTGGAAGAGGAGTGATTGGCCTACAAAAATTACTCTAAGACCACATTGACAATTGACCCGCGAGCTCGCAGATTAACCCAGAACAACATCTAAAGAACTGCAGGCCTCTCTTGCCTCTGTTAAGGTCAGAGTTCATGATTCAACAATAAGAAAGACAAAAATGGGATCCATGGGAGACTTCCAAGATGATAATCCACTGCTGACCGAAAAGAACACAAAGTCTCACATTTGTCAATAAAACATTTTGTTGATCCCCAAGACTTTTGGAAAAAATATTCTGTGGGCTGAGGGGAAAGATCACCAACGGTCACACATGGTGAGGGTAGTGTGATGGTCTGGGCCTGCTTTGCTGCTTCAGGACCTCAACAGCATCTAATTAATGGATCCATTGATTTTACTCTTTACTGGAAAAACCTCAAAGGAGTCTATCTGACTGTCAGTTTGTGTCCTGAAGCTCAACTTGGGTTATGTAGCAGGACAATGATCCAAAACACAGCAGCAGGTTCACATCTGTATGACTCAATAAAACCAGAAAACAAAAACAAAATAAAGGTTTTGGAGCAGCCTAGCCAAAGTCCAGCCTTAAATCTGATTAAGATGCTTCAGCGTGACCTTGAACAGTGATGTTCCTGTTGAGAAACCCTACAATGTGGCTGAATCAAAAAAAAAAAAGATGCAAAGAAGAGTGAGCCAAAATTCCTCCATGGCAATGTGAAAGACTCAGTGCCAGTTACTGCAAACACTTGATTGCAGTTATTGCTGCCAAGGCTGGCACAGCCAGTTATTAGGTTTTGGGGGCCATTACTGTACACAGGGCTAGATAGGTTTGGATAACTTTTATAATCAATAAAATCACAATTTAAAAACTGCATTTTGTATTTACTTGGGTTATTTGTGTCTAATATTGAAAATTGTTTGAGGATTTGAAGCTTAATAAATATGTTAAAACATTTTTTGGAAAGGGAACAAATACTGTTCCACTGATATAACATTCATTATGTTTCTGCTCCTTTCACAGGGAATATGACCTTAAGTGCAAGTGACACCCAATCTAATAACACTACAGTAAGTGACAAATATTTTCAAGAACAGTAAATAACTTTGGTGTGTAATTAGACTTTAAGTGTTATATTATCCTGTTTGCAGGGACCCAACATCGCAGCCATTGTGGCCCCTACAGTCACCTTGGGAGTGCTGGCTATAGTCTCGGCTTTTCTCGTCTGGTTGTTCTGCGTGGTCAAAAAGAAGAGGCAGACCGAAGGGACGTACAGACCCAGCGCTGAGGAGCAGTCTGGTGCGCGCAGCATTGCTGCACCGGATGCACTAAAATTACCAAAGGAGGAAAGACTCATTTGAGGTTTTGTGGAACACCTTGTAAGGACACAGGCTGCAAACACTTGCACGGCAGCCTTCCTGTGTGACGAGGCTCTCAGATTGGGGCTTGACCACTGAGAGAAAACTGTCTCCAGGTTTAAGAGAGGACAAAGAGAGATCTTTGAAACCGTACAACATGATGCATTTTCTTGCCGCTCCATATCAACAAGCACTGAATTGTTCTTGCTTGGTAAGCCGAAGAGAAGCGCCCAAAGGGATTTTTCTCTGACTTTTAAGAACAACTGAACATTTCAAAGAGGTCTAAATGTTTATTCTGCACAAGTTAAAAAAACAAAAAGCTACAGTATTTTATCGCCACTAATGATTTTAGTTTAGCGACACTTCTTTTTGCCAGCTGCCTTAAGTCCTAATTACTTGCTGGATTTGATTCTGTCTAAAATTTCAATGCAAAATCTGCTGACCTTTAACCTCAAACTTTTTGCTTTTTTAGTCGATCGCATTTGAAAAGGAAAGAGTTTCTATTTATGAGTTTAATCAAAAGATCTTATCCTCGTGAAAACGAGTTTTTTACAAAGCTGCTCTGAGCTAAAAAAAATAAGTCAGGTTATAACTAGAAATCAGAAGCAACTGTTTACACTTGACATCTCTTTGAATAACAACACTAATTTAAAGACAGGCCATCAATAATTCACCAGATCATATGTATAGCACATAATTGACTGTAATCAAGTAGAGATGTTTTACAATGTCACCACGTGTTTATTTATGCATTTGTCAAATAACTGAATATTTGTTTAATATTTGTGTAATTAAACTTTACAAAGCATTTAAAGTCTCACGAGTCCTCCCCAGGTGGATCAGGAGCGGTGTTTATGTATAAAATCCCAGTAAAAATAGGATATAGGGTGCTGGTTTAGCTGGGTAGGTAGGCGGGTAGGCAGGCGATCTATATGTTGTAGGTCTTTCCTTCTTCTGTCCACTGTCCTGTTACGCAAAAGGCTAAAAATAACAATAAGGAAATAGCACATGCCTGAAAAGGTTGAGCAGCTCTGGAAAAAATGCAAACAAGTCCACAGCTATTGTATGTATTAGTGTACAGAGGCTGATGATAAAATAGCTATGCAGATAAGCATTTTCAGTAACCACAGAGTGTAAAGTTCAGGCTCTCGGTGTACATGAGAAAAGCACTGAAACGCTCGACTCGTTGTTAGCCTGTAGTAAAAAAGTTGTTAACTGTATGATGCAAGGAAAATTCACAGGGTCACTTTTTTCATAATTTTTTTTAAATTAGCAGGTCTTTATGTCTTATTCCCCACACAAATGCGTGTCCTGGTTTTCAGTGGCTTCTGCATGTAAATGACTCACGGAAACACGCAGTCATGTGACGTCAGCATTATCACTGCGAGGAAAGAAGGTTCCTCACATACAGGCAGATCAAGTTGGTTAGATTTCAAAGACTGGAAAAAAAGCTAGTGAGACACGTGTCGAAAGACCCCAGAACAACTGAATGACTTAGTTGAGTCAGAAATTGCAGTCTGAAAGAAGATGATCATGAGAACCTTGCACAGGAATGGACTCAGATGTTGTAGACCAAGAAAAACTCCATTTGTGTAAAAGAGACACATTCAAGCCAGACTGAAGTATGCTACAGTAAGGACAACCTGGAGAAAGATTATGCATACTGGAAGCACGTCCTTTGGTCAGATGAGATTAAACCCTTTTGGCCACAGAGCCACTGCTTACATTTGGAGAAAGAAAGGTAGAATTTAGAGACCAAAGAAACAGCATCCCAACAATGAAACACGGTGGTGGGAGTATTATGCTGTGGGGATGCTTCGATGTGTCTAGGACTGAGAATCTTGTCAAGGTGGAAGGACTCATGAAGAAAAAATGATATGGGAAGATTATGAAAGAAAACCTCAAGCAGTCAGAAATAAACAGAGTCTGGATGCAAGATATATCTTCCAACACTCCTGATCACCAAAGTGAATGTTACTGACTGTCCTACACTTGAATCTCATTGAAAATCTATGAAGTGAAGAACATTAAATCTGGAGAAGCTTGAGAGATTCACCAAACCATTATGTATATTTAGGATAATTCTCTTAAAGAAGTATACATCCGGCAGTGTATTAGTAAACATTGTGTAGCACAAGTCCTTGTAGCTATATGTTGTAGAATAGACTTGCTAACTAGGAGTTTTAATGCTGTAAGGTGAAGAGAAATCTTGGATCACACGTCAAATTAATCAGTAAAAGAAAACAAACAAAAACCCCCAAAGAGGCATTAATTTGGCATTTAAATTAGATTTTATTCTTTCGCCAGTTTCAAGGCTTCACAGTTAAAATCACTTGCTTTTGACTTCGGCAAGGCAATGACAGGACAGATGTGAGGATGTCAGTAGTTCAGTGCATTCACGACATACAAAAACATTTGAACCAAAAACTTCACTAGCACCAGTTAACACCAATGTCTAACACTAGAGCAACAGTGATCTGTTCAAGTGTGGCGAACCATTCAATTCATGATGGGGGGGGGGAAGGAAAAAAGGGGGGTAATGGGCGAGGTGAAAGGAGCTCAGGGAGCCAGTTGCGCGGAGGTTTTATGCAACTTCCTCCTCTCCCTCTTCCTCGAACTCTCCTTCCTCAGCGGTGGCATCCTGGTACTGCTGATACTCGGACACCAAGTCGTTCATGTTGCTCTCGGCTTCGGTGAACTCCATCTCATCCATACCTTCGCCCGTGTACCAGTGGAGGAAGGCCTTACGACGGAACATGGCGGTGAACTGCTCGGAGATGCGCTTGAACAGCTCCTGGATGGCGGTGCTGTTGCCAATGAAAGTGGCGGCCATTTTGAGGCCACGGGGTGGGATGTCACAGACGGCGGTCTTCACATTGTTCGGAATCCATTCGACAAAGTAGCTGCTGTTCTTGTTCTGCACATTCAGCATCTGCTCATCCACCTCCTTCATGGACATGCGACCTCTAAAGACTGCGGCCACGGTCAGGTAGCGGCCGTGGCGTGGGTCGCAGGCAGCCATCATGTTCTTGGCATCGAACATCTGCTGAGTGAGCTCAGGCACAGACAGTGAGCGATACTGCTGGCTGCCCCTGCTGGTGAGCGGGGCGAACCCTGGCATGAAGAAGTGCAGACGGGGGAAGGGCACCATGTTGACGGCTAGTTTGCGGAGATCGGCGTTGAGCTGGCCAGGGAAACGCAGACAGGTGGTCACCCCGCTCATGGTGGCGGACACCAAATGGTTGAGATCTCCGTAGGTTGGAGTGGTGAGTTTAAGCGTGCGGAAGCAGATGTCATAGAGGGCTTCATTGTCAATACAGTAGGTTTCATCTGTGTTCTCTACCAGCTGGTGGACAGAGAGGGTGGCGTTGTAAGGCTCCACCACGGTGTCAGACACTTTGGGGGAAGGCACCACGCTAAAGGTGTTCATGATGCGATCGGGGTACTCCTCGCGAATCTTGCTGATCAGCAGGGTGCCCATGCCGGAGCCAGTGCCTCCGCCCAGAGAGTGAGTGAGCTGGAAGCCCTGGAGGCAATCGCAGCTCTCAGCCTCTTTCCTCACTACATCCAGAACAGAGTCCACCAGCTCTGCTCCCTCAGTGTAGTGGCCCTTGGCCCAGTTATTTCCAGCTCCACTCTGGCCTGTAGTCAAAAATATTCCAATTTATAATGTAAGATGCACAGGAAAGACATAGCATAGTATGCTCGATTAACAAAATTCACCCAGCTTACCAAAGACAAAGTTGTCTGGTCTGAAGATCTGTCCAAAGGGACCAGACCTCACCGAATCCATCGTTCCAGGCTCCAGATCCACCAGGATGGCTCGTGGAACGTATTTTCCACCTAAACCAGTCAAAAGTGAATGAACAATATAATTCCTTGTGATTTTAAGAGGCACGCTGGATGTGATGTAAAACAGAGATATGTATGCGAATCAGTCTGTACGGCAGCAGAGGTGAATCTGCAACCAACCTGTGGCCTCATTGTAGTAGACGCTGATCCTGTCTAGCTGCAGGTCGCTGTCTCCATGGTAGGTACCGGTGGGATCAATGCCGTGCTCATCGCTAATCACCTCCCAGAACTGAAACAAAACAGGCGTGGTAGGAGAGGAAGGTGGGATGCAAGTTCATTCCAGTTACGTATTTGCTGATATACTTTTAATTACATTTCTAGAAAGCTTAGTGTGTATTTCTGGTGCATGTAGAGTCAAAAGAGCAGTCTATTAGTCTGATCTGGCAGATGGCAATAATCTGAAAAGTAAAAACGTCTTTGGTGCCATATAGCCAACAAGATGAATTATACTAAAGATATAATCCATGCCAGTGTTAAAATGATAATACTGCAGTTTGATTCAGTTTAAATTTAGACATTTTTTTTTCAGAAGCAAGTGGCTGGAAAAGAATCAGGCAAAAATAGGTCATAAATATGGAGGGGGAGGGGCGGCTGCTCCTACATCTACAATAAGGTTTCATTACTATTCCAGTCAAACGCTGATATACTCGCATGGGAAATTCGACAAAAATGTGGAAATATTAAATGCGAGTTATGCATGGAATTATTAAAGCATAAAGTCGCATAAATCTTAATTTCTCCTGCATATACGAGTGCATGAATCAGTCTTGTCCTCGGTGTGAAACCCTGCACGGAATGCCAATGAGCAAATCGTCTGTGGATTGATTCTCCCTCTCTCTGGAATGTAATGAGCTTTAAGAAGAAAATACGCCGCACAGAGTTTGTTCTAGAGAATTTCTGGAAGATGGATTAGGGGAGCTCCTCTGAGTGCCTGCATGACAGCCGGCACACAGCTCACCGGATTGAAAAAAACCGAAATAGAGCAAAAGAAATCAGAAAGAAATACCTTGGCTCCAATCTGGTTTCCGCACTGGCCGGCCTGCAAGTGCACAATTTCGCGCATTTTGGACAGGTGGGTAAGAGGACGGTCGAGTAGGAGACGGGAATCTGAGCAGAGGAGATTCACAGGATGATGGCTCCTGCAGTCGATCGTCCGGGATTTTGTTGCACCGCCTCTAAGACCGTCTACTGGGCTGAAACGGTGGTGCAACTTGACGTCATCGCCATGGCAACCAAAGACTGGAGGAGAGAGGGAGGAACCAAAAGCGGTGGAAATGGCGGATAGGATGCGAGGAAGCTGCATCAGGTGTCAATAGGTCGTCTCGTTATTCTCACGGACTCAGTGACCCCACACCCCAAAAGAAAATATTCACATGAAACAACACCAGTCATCCAGCTGCCTTAAAGTGATATGTAGAGACTATTTGGTACTTTTGAACGCATTAACTTGATGTTATCCCCCCCCCAAAAAAGGTAAAAAAAGCCACATCATGATTCCCTCCATAATATCACTGCTTGACCCATTTCTGTCTGACCCCGGATGGCTTTTGCCGTGCTTATTTTTATCTTCATCTCGTGTGGCTGAATATGTTTCTGGAACACAATTCATGGTTTGCACACAAGAAGTAAAGAGGAAAAGCAGAAACATTCACGTCAGTCTGAGGCCTTACATGTCTGACGTTTTAATATTAGTAAATATGTAAGCCTGTGGCCTTATGAAAATGCACCAACACAGTGCAGGCATTATTGAAAAAAAGAAAGCCAGTTTTTTAAAGTTGCAGTTACATTTTGCACTGGATATCATGGCTACCTGTTTATATATAAAGATCCTTTCATTTTTGTTATACATTGGATATATCTAAAGCTTCTTACAGAATAATTGCTGCCTTCTCCTCAGACTTAAATCGTACTAAAAGTACGATTTCAGATGAAATGCTGTCTGCATTTAATCTATTTTTGGCTGCCACCTATTTTATATTCTGCCCATCTTGAGCTGCGCACCTTTTTCTTTTTTCTTTTTGAAGATCGTAAAAGGTGTCTCTTTTATCATTTTGTACCCAGCACGTTAATTTTCACAAGTCTTAAAATGTGGCCTGCTGTCGTTGCTGACGGCAGGTTTAGCTTGTTTGTGTCGAAACTCAACAGCTACAAGAGCTAAGCCTTACTATGAATGGAAACCTGGGGAATGAGGAGCCACTCAGTTCACCGATGTATGAGTTTGGATGTTGTTTTTTCCCCTTTTTTTACAGTTTGATTTTTTTTTTAAACTTCCCAGTCTGTCATTGAATGGTGAGTTTTTAAGTATGCAGATTAAGGCCAGGTAAAAACAAAGGTTTGCTGGTGGGATGGGCTGTCAACGCTAAAACAGTCACATCCTGAATGATTACATTCCAGACCTGCTCTGAGTTACCAGCTACCCTCCACCATTCTTCAACAACTAGCCAATGGGGCTTTATTTCCTGCTTTCCAGCTATGCTGCATGCAGGCTCTTTCTTTTTTTTCAGCTGCTGCATGATTCACGTTACTCCCACAGTAGACATGCACAGGAAAAACAGCATTTGGAACTTCATGTCAAGAACAATAGTTAAGCTGTCCATACGCTTTGAGGCTTTCTGGGGACAAGTTTAATTAGGTGTGATAATGCTACTATGTTGTTGCTGTTTACCGTGGAGTCATTAAGGACTTAAACTCGAGGACTTGTTGGTTGGAGTTGTGGATTTATTCTATATACGTGACGAGCTCTTGGCCATGTCACTCCCAGAGGAGGATCTTACGTGCCCAGTGTGCTGTGACATTTTCACAGACCCTGTTCTGTTGTCATGCAGTCACAGCTTTTGCAGGGGCTGTCTAAAACATTGCTGGGACAAAGGGATACGAGAGTGTCCAGTTTGTAGGAAAAAAGCTTCAAAGTGCAACCCTCCATGCAACTTGGCGCTAAAAAATGTTTGCGAGGCTGTTCTTCAGGTCAGGAGGCTGAGCTCAGTGGAAGGGGAAGACAAGGTGAACTGCAATCTTCATGGAGAGAAGCTGAAACTCTTCTGCCTCAATGACAAACAGCCCATCTGCGTGGTGTGTCAGTCGTCCAAACTGCACAAGACCCACGACTGCTCGCCTATAGATGAGGCACTGCTGGACTGCAAGGTGAGGGAGACAAACATAGCTATTGGTTATCTTAACAAATTCTGCAGTTTGCTTTTAAGGTAACACCTTATGGTAGAATGCTGCTCCACAAGTCAGGCCTGAATGTAATGCACCCTTTCAGGGATTAACTCAGATCTGCAGTACCTAAAGTACTTTACACATTAAATTTGGTGTCTGTTGACTGAGGCCTGCTTTACTTCCAGGACGAACTTGCTTTATCCCTCAAGAGCCTGCAAGAAAAGCTGGACAACCTCAAAAGAATTAACATGACGTCCAATAACACACTAATGTGCATCAAGGTAACCTGTGATGAGCTGACAGATGTTTCATATTTGTCAGGAAAATATGCCCGACCTAATAAAAGAGCTTGTGATAATCCCCCCCCACAGAGTCAGGCGCTGGAGACACAGAAAATGATCAAGAACCATTTTGAGCAGCTGCATCAAGTCCTCTACCACGAAGAGTCGGCTAGATTAGCTGCTGTGAAAAAAGAGGAAGAAGAAAAGATAGCAGGGATGAAGGAGAAAATGAAAGAGCTTTCAGCTGAGGTGACGTGTCTTACGGAGACCATCGCCATCATACAGGAACAGCTGAAAGAAGACGATATGGTTTTGTTGAAGGTTTGCGTTGTCCAATTTGAAGCTTATCTCCTTATTGTTTGCAAAAAGCCTCTACCTTAACATGTTTTTTTTTCTCTCCCCCAGAATTTTAAAGACACACAAGACCGGTAGGTTTATTAAAAGGCAAACAAAAATGTGTGCAAAATATGTAATTACCTATTAATGGTCTGTGTCATTTTTTTCTTTTTCTTTTTTTTACATGAGTAGAGTGTAAAATGTTAAGTTTAATGGGATCTGGTCAGACTTGATTGGTATACATTCAGTTTTTGCTAAGCACATTTATCTTAATCATTAATACTTGAATAAATAAACCTTTGATTTGATATATGTCAGTTGCATTTTACCCCCAAGTTATTGTTTCATGTTTACTGAGATGAAGAATAATTTCAGTGTCACATATCCTCAGTGTAAGACATCTGTTGTTATCACAGATGTAAAAGCATAGTGCTTGGTTCAGAGAACATGTCTGGGCTGCTGATTGATGTGACTAAACACCTCTACAACCTCAAGTACAGAGTCTGGGAAAAAATCCTGGACCATGTTGATTATAGTAAGTATACCTAAATATTATTATTCGCTTTTACCTAAGAATTGCACAACAAAATATTAATAGATCATTGTTTTTGGCACATTTCCTGTCTTTTAGCTCCCATAACCTTAGATCCAAACACAGCACACCCTTGCCTCATCCTGTCTGACGATCTCACTTCCCTGCACTACTCAAAGCAGCCCAGTGTATGTCCTGACAACCCAGAGCGCTTCCATATGAGCGCTGAAGTGGTAGGCATGACCGCACTAGGCTCAGGAAGTCACCACTGGGTTGTGGAAACAGGAAGTAATCATGACTGGCTCCTGGGTGTTGCCTCCATGTCTGTACCGAGAAACACAGAGATCTCTGCCCGGCCCAAGAATGGCTTCTGGACTTTATGTTTCCGGGATGGAGACCTGAGAGCAATGACCTCCCCACCCAGCCTGCTGACAGTTTCTAGAACACCTAAGCAGGTCAAAGTTCAGCTCGATTACAACAAGGGAACGGTGTCATTTTTTGACGCCACTGACAACACACTCTTATATGCATTTACACACTCCTTCACTGAACCTTTATTTCCATATTTTTATACACAGAGCAGTCATCCATTGCGAATACTGCCAGAGAGGGTACTTGTCACAATGTTGCGGCAATAAGTGGACGACTCATTTATTCTTTATCAAGCGAGAAAATGTAATCCCGGGATGAAATGAATGTCAAACTATCAAAGTGGGGAGGAGTGACCTGCTGTAATGTTACCACTGAAGCAGTCATTTTACTGTAATGGGAATATTGCTCCTTCTTCAGGCTTGATGTATACTCACTGGACACTATATCAGGTACACCTTGCTAGTACAATGTCGGACCTCCTTTGGACTTCAGAACTGCCCTAATTCTTTGTGACACAGATTCGACAAAGTGCTGGAAACATTTCTCAGAGATTTTGGTCTATGGTGACACAATAGTGTCACAGTTGTTGCAGGTTTGTCATCCGTGATTCAAATCTCCTGTTCCAACCTCATCCAAAAGGTGCTCTGTTGGATTGAGATCTGGTGACTGTGGTGCTAATCTGAATACAGTGACCTCACTGTCATAAAACCCAATTTAAGAGTATTTGAACTTTGTAATACGTATGCTGTAATATCCTGTTGGAATTGGCCATCAGCAGATGGGTACACTTTGGTCATAAAGTCCTTTGAGCGCTCCAGTAGAGTAGAAGTGCATTATATGAGAACCAGTCCATTTACCATAAAGGGATGGACATGGTCAGCAACAATACTCAAGTGGGCTGTGGCATTTTAACAGTATAAAGTGTGCCAAGAATATTCCCCACTGAACCGTTGAGACAATGCAGGATGGACCCATGCTTTCATCTTATATTAAATTCAGATCCAACCATGTGGATGTTGCATTAAAAGTCAAAACTCATCAGACCAGGGATCATTTTTCCAATTTTCTATTGTCCAGTTTTGTTCAGCCTGTATGAACTTTAGCCTCAGTTTCCTGTTTTTAGCTGACAGGACCTAATGCAGTCTTCTGCTGCTGTAGCCCATCTAATGTGTGATTCTTTGAGTTGCTGCTTTGAACTGAGAGGAAAGGCTTACTGATGCAATATAATCCCTTTTCTTTTGGACCATTCTCTTTAAACTCCAGAGATGGTTGTGTGGAAAATTCCCATTAGATCAGCAGTTTCTAAAATACTCACAATATCCCATCTGGCACCAACAGCAATCCCACGTTCAAAGTCACTTAAATCCTTTCTAATTCTGATGCTCAAGTTGAACTTCAGTAGGATGTCTTAACCATGCCTACCTACCCAAATGTATTGAACTGCTGCCATTTGATTGGCTGATTATATATTTACTTTAGCAAGCAGCTGAACAGGTGTACCTAACAAAATGTTCATTGACTGTATGTGCAACAAAAGCTAGAAGCTGGTTAGCTTAGGACAAAGATGGAAATTTCTACCCTATCTTTATCTAATGTACAAACATACTATATTTTGGTTAATTGATTTAGTTCAAAACCACAAGTATGAGAGTAACTAATAACTTTACAGGGGTAAGTAGTGTGGAATAATAACTTTCCAGAGACCCCATTAGCTCCTTGTTATAAAAACCCTTTTAAAATGATGAACTGTAAACTTTACAATCACGCTTTATGTTGGGATTTAAAGAGGATGATATAACAGGTCTTAATTATAGGTTTTAGAGGTGTTGGAAGACAGATTTAGTTGTTAAGATGGCTTTTTCAATTGGTTTGTATGCCATGTCTGCTTTATACATTTGAGCATGGCATGAATGTTCACTCAGTAGGAAAGCAAATATAGATCTGTATAAAACACATTTAACTACATTGAATAAAATCATATGCAGTGTTTTTCCCTGTAGTGGTACAGCTGAGTTTTTGGTGTGTGGCAAACACTAACCCTTGTTAAAAAATATTTTGCATTCCCTGTTTGACTTATTTATTGAGGTTTCTTTCAGTCATAACAGCATTATTATGTTGGAGAGGTATGTGGGGAATATATACACCCTGTCCTGCACCATGCACTTTCAGAAAGACATCACACATGCCACAGATGCATGCTCCTTTTGCTATCAGTATGATGCTGATTGGGATGATTTTCTTTCTAGCCTGTTAAACTAACCTTTACTATGATGCACCCTAACCCTGACCTATTGAACCATGACACTAAAACTCTTAAGCTCAAAACTGCCCGTCAAAGTTTTGAGCCTAAATGTCCTCACAACCTCACCACAGTCACTGGTCCACACATTCACTGGAAGGATAAAGTTTATTGATGTATTTTGTCCTCACGGTGGCGCCAAAACACAATCAAATAGTTCACATGTTCCTTGTAGCAATTCATCACATTATGAAAACATGAAATTAAAATGCTTATAATTTTAACATTGTCTACTTGTTGATTAATTATTGATTCAATCTTTGATACAGATTTCTTTCACTAATTATGAAAAAATGCATTCAAGTAAAACGTAAACTGTGAAAAAACAAACAAACAAAGCAGGACTTTACACTCAGGATTTGACTCTCACAGTTGCAGACAATTATTTTTCATAAATTTTAATATGTGTGTTATATTTTTATATTTTGTGAATCTAAGCAGGTGGGTTTTGCTCCTGTGGATTCTGGTTCTTCTCTGGGTTGAAACAGGAAGTAATCTTTTTAATGCAGGCGTCAGAGAGGAAAGGCACCTTCTCTAGACGAGACAAGTAGACAAGGGGCTGGATTGTGCTGCTGATGTTCAGAAAG